CCGGCCCAGCCACTCTCGAGCTGCCCAGGGGCCTCCGGGGGGACTCGGTGTGGGGACCCCATCCCAGCCAGCTGCAGTCATGGCCCCTGGCTCCCTTGGGCCTTTCCCCACAAGTCATGGTGGCGTGGCCATGAGGGACAGGCAGGGGGGCACCTTTACCCTGCCTGGCCCTGTTCAGGTCCAGAGCCTGGTGGGCAGGTGGGAGGACAGAGCAGTGGTCACAGCTCTGTACCTCCGGGGTCTGCGGCCAGCCCCTCCCCTTCTCCAGGGCGACTCAATTGCAGGCCTCCAGGTCCCAGCAGGGGCTCCCAGAGGACCCGTGGGCAGCGGCTGTCCGTGAGCTGTGGCATGGCGACAGGGGCTCCCAGAGGACCCGTGGGCAGCGGCTGTCCGTGAGCTGTGGCATGGCGACAGGGGCTCCCAGAGGACCCGTGGGCAGCGGCTGTCCGTGAGCTGTGGCATGGCGACAGGGGCTCCCAGAGGACCCGTGGGCAGCGGCTGTCCGTGAGCTGTGGCATGGCGACAGGGGCTCCCAGAGGACCCGTGGGCAGCGGCTGTCCGTGAGCTGTGGCATGGCGACAGGGGCTCCCAGAGGACCCGTGGGCAGCGGCTGTCCGTGAGCTGTGGCATGGCGACAGGGGCTCCCAGAGGACCCGTGGGCAGCGGCTGTCCGTGAGCTGTGGCATGGCGACAGGGGCTCCCAGAGGACCCGTGGGCAGCGGCTGTCCGTGAGCTGTGGCATGGCGACAGGGGCTCCCAGAGGACCCGTGGGCAGCGGCTGTCCGTGAGCTGTGGCATGGCGACAGGGGCTCCCAGAGGACCCGTGGGCAGCGGCTGTCCGTGAGCTGTGGCATGGCGACAGGGGCTCCCAGAGGACCCGTGGGCAGCGGCTGTCCGTGAGCTGTGGCATGGCGACAGGGGCTCCCAGAGGAAGCGATGGCCCAGCAGCCCCCAGGGCGTCTGGTGGCAGGCAGCCCTCCTGGGGCGGTGGCGGTGGGTAGCCTCCTTCCTGTCCAGCGCGGAGGGCTGAGGTAGGCGTGGGCTGGCACCCTGGGCCCTCACAGCCGGGGTTTGATGTGCAGAGGTTTCCCTGTTCCGAGAAGGGCAGAGGTCAGGTGCCAGGAGCCCCCTGGCAGGTGAAGCCCCCCAAGCTCCCTGAGGGGCATGCACAGCAGGGGCTCTGGAAGTGGGGACAGTGGCTTCAGACAGGCCACCCTGGATCCAGCGTCCAGCGGGCGCAGGCCTGGCCCCTGTGGCCCACCCAGGAGAGGTGGGAGCAGTGCCCTGGGCTGGGTAGGCCCTGGCGGTCTGCAGGCGGAGCTGGGAGCAGGTGCACACTGGCACCACGCTGCTCCTTCGAGGGAAAGCCAGGTGTGTGCAAGCAGCTGGCTGGGTGGGGCAGGGGGCGGGGCAGCCTGTGGTCAGGAGCAAGGAACCAGAGGGCGGAGAGTCGTGTCCAAGGGGCCCGCTCAGGTCCACACTCATGGGCGCCACCGCCTCTCCCTTCCCACAAAGCCCCCTCACAGGCCGTGTTCCCGAGGACCAGACGCCTCCACGCAGCTGCCCACAGGCGGCCTCTCCATGTGCCCCTCCGGCTGAGCCCCAGCCACCTGCTCAGCTGAGCGCAAGCCCAGGAGCGGCCTCCTGCCCTGGGCCCTCCCCCCCACCTCCAGGGAGCAGGGAGGCAGGCGGATGGGGCGCCCACCTGCCTCCTGACTCTGGGTTGGCTGCCGGGTTCCTGATCTTACAGAATGAAAGTGGCAGCAGAGCTCCCAGCGGCCCCTCTGCACCCCAGGGAGCCACACCCGATGCAGGGCCAGGCCGCTCCTCGCCCAAGTGGGGGCTGAGATGAGGCGGGCGGGCCGGCCCCTCCGCGTCCGCGTTTGAGCGTGCTCAGCGGAGCTGCTAGAGGAGGCTGCGGCAAGCATCTTCCATTAACGTTACGACCGTGAAATATGACAATAAAATGATGGCCGTATGGTCGCAAATTTGCAGCCCGCCGAGCTGCGTGGGGTTTATCGTCACTCAAACGCGCGGAGAGCTGTAAAATGTTTACAGAAAGGGTCGTTTGCAGCCATAAAATCCTCTTTTCTCTCCTCAACAAGGCTGAGTGGAGCCATTTACCAAGCCCCAAACGCTCATCGGGGAGAGGGAGCATCTGTTCTCTCCAGGAGCGTGCGCTGAGCTTCCAGAACAAATTAACAGAAATGGGTGCTTTCTAATTAAATCAGCCCTTGGCCGCTGTGCGCTCACACCTCAGCCCCGCCCCTCGGCGGCAGGTGCTCAGCCATGGGCCACCTGGAGACTCTGATTGTTGGGTCGGAGCTGGGCACGGAAAGACCCCTGGCCGTGCTGGGGCTGGCTGCCTACCTGAGTCCTTGGCGGGGGCGCTCCTGGTGGTCGGGGCCCTGGGCTGGCCGCCTGGGCTGGGCGTGGACTGCAGGGAGATGAAGGAAGGCAGCTTGGAGAGGCCTCCGGAGCCCTTCCCCGCAGAGGCAGCCTCCTCCTGGAGCACCGGCTCCTCCCGGTCTAAGGAGGGGGAGGAGGAGGGGGAGGGAGAAGAGGGGGAGGGGGAGAAGGGA